CATCGCTACTAGTAACAAGTGCCTTACTAGTAGTAACAAAGAAGCTAACAGGTGCAAAACCGCCATCCACCGATGTCGAAAACCTTCCAGCGATCCCTCGGGACTGTTGCTCGGCCTTCGGGGCCTCTCGGGGCTTCCATGCGACGTGCGACGGTCTGTGTTTGGTTTTTGTTGTTTGAGGGGTCGGTTTTCCCCCCCGATGGGGGAAGATTGGCTAGCTTGACTGCTTGGAAAGACACCATATCCAACCATGAAACATCCCTTAAAGATACTTGTAATGCTTCTATCCAATCCCATGTCCTGCAGCCTGGAGTGCCTTGATGTAAGAAGTGCTCGCAACAAATGCACAAAGAGGAAGGAGACCTTTCTTTTGACTTTGGACCATGTGCTGACAACCCTGTCTTGCTTGTCTGTGCAGCACTGATATTGCCTTCAGCCCGCTTCGAACCGAAGAGAAACGCGGTCTTTGGCACTTGAAACCATCACCATGACTGCTCTTGAGTTCATCTTGGATAGATGCTCCAGAAGTGAAAATGCACAACTAAAGATGTGAAATGTGAAAAGTTCCAATCCATACAAATCCAGGCCCTCCACCACACAACGAGCAAGACATGTCTCCCTGCTAGGACTTAGTGCTGTGACACACTGTGGTATTGCAGGCTGAGGCGTCAAAACTTGCAACTGGCCAGAAAACTGCCGTTCACATCAATCCGTTCTGATTCGAAAGAAACACGCTTCAATCTGCTACCTGACGGCCGGCCCAAGGGCCGCCTGACAGATGCGGCCCGATGTTGTCTCTTCTCTCTGCGAAGAAATGTCTCTTCTACAGTCCACTGAGTGGGGGCATTCTCAGACAGCTCACAGCCCACAACTAGGTTCACATTCTGCACCAATTCTGCACGACAGTCAGGGTTTCAGAAAATGTCGACTGAGCCTGAGCTGCTGTGGAAAATCGTTCGACATGGCCTTTGGCCACCTTAACTGGCCTGCTCGAGTGCCCTCCAGGCCTGAGCTGCCGGTCCTAGCATTGTCATTATATAACGATTGTCTGCCTCCTCTTCAGAAAAAATATTGTTGTCCACATCTTCATCTCAGGTGTCTGAGACATGTCCTTCTCATGTGTCTTTTCTTGTTCTGGTCTTGACGGCTATCAGAATCCTTCTCTCGACTTGGGTCCCTTCAGCTTTGAGCGAAAAACACCTTCTCCGTATTTCTCACCCCGCTGAATGTAAAACGAAAAGGAGGCAGCCGTTCGTTGTACATGAATTTGATGGTCCAGTGAGCGTTGATCAGTTGGATCATGCTAAACACGCTTCCTTGTGCGCCTCGGTGCTGTTCATTCCTGGATTTCCAGACAAAATATCCCCAAGTCTCCCCAGTATCCATTTCCTGCGAGGATGTTCAACCCACCTGGAATGAGCTGTCACGAGATCCGGCACAATGTCGGCAAAAGCAAAAAATGCACCAGTATCTTGCGGTGTGCTTCGCGGAGGAAGACTGACTCCAACCCGCGATACCAAATCTTGATCGCCATGTACAAGTCACTACAGGCTTGCAGGCTTCAGGAGTCAAAAGTCTGTGGCTTGAAGTCACGCTGTGTCACTATACGCTGTGTCAATGGAAAGACCGCATCAAGAACCCCTCAGGTCTACAAATTCTGAAACATTTCAACCAAATCGTCTGAAGACACCTTAACCAACGGGAGGGACCATGAAGACAAACATCTCTTCACTGTTGGTGTGGACAGAATCAGATCTGCGTTTCATGACCTTGACATGTCATTTCTTCGAGCCGAAGACGTGGAAGACTCCGAAGCTGTGCCGTTGGGGAGAAAGACAACATGCTGAGCAGGGTTTAGACACCATACAAAGCACATGTCCGGCATGGGATGAGGTTGGTCACCACTGGCAAAAAAAGATCGAAAGTTCCGTTTCGAGTGATTTCCAAAAACCTTCCAAGCTCCATCCCAGGAGAGTTATCAGGATCAACACCTTAAGCCGCTCCGATGGGCGCGGCGAAGCGGCGGACGTCATGGAGATGTTGTCCCCGATGGCGGCCAGCGCACGCCGCAGGGGACGACTCAAAAGTCGCATGAGATGATGGCCTCGCAGCGACTCGTTCGCGAACGATGTTAGGCGAGTTAGAGCATGTTGTTAGAGCTTCAAAGGGCAACTCGGCAAAGAAGTGTGACTAGAAAGGAGAACATGGAACAAGTATCGAAATGTGTCTTTGATAAAACAGTTTTTCCTTGTGGCAGTGCTCATCACCCTGACAGTCTGACATTCCCGTCAATGTCAATGTTAAATTTTCTACTCGATTGCCGAGAAAACACAGGGCAGTAGGAAAGGACTCATGCAAAAAAACAAAGAAAAGACACACTGCTTACAACGCAAAGCACACACAAGAAACACCCCTTCAATTTGGGCCAAAAGCGCAATGAATATGGCCCACACAAGGGCACGGTTGAAGTGTACAATGCAAAAGCCGCAGTCAAGAAGAGACCACATCAAGGACTCAGTTGATCCAAAAATACAATTCCGTTGACCCACTGAGATGACATTTCTTCAAGTCCGACCTCTTCTGTCTCTTTTCTGTCACTTCCAAGTCTGAGCGAAGACCCGTCCTCCCGCGGAGTCTCCGTGGTCTCCACCCTCTCGCTCTTCTCGCTCTTCTCGCTCTTCTCGCTGACACTGGGAACCTGGCCGGCGAGAAGGACAACCAAGTGCGGTCTCGAGACGGAAAAGGCATCGATCGAAGGAGTGCCTCCACAGAGCTGCCAGGAGGATAGCACCCCGAAGCATATGTTCCTGCAATCGCGGCATGAAAGTAGCATGCAAATAATCAAAAGTCCAACCTTCATCATCTTACCGACTGGTACAGTTTCCACACTCATGCTTCATCGTGGGCAATATATGGACGCCTTTACGAGTCGTAACCTGCAACACGGCAACCGAGCTCAGTCGGCAAGACAGAAAGAGCCTCTATAAGTCTCAATATGACCAATGGCAACCAAATGGACCAAAGAAACGAAATGCACATGGCCCATGGCCAAATCCAATGCTGAACGTGTCGACCTCGGCAGTTTCCTATGCTATCGACCGTCTGCTATCGAGTGCTTCGCCTGGCCCATCCAGGCCTTGTTCCTCCACCTTGATGGCTCTTCGCGAGTACTCTTTCAACGCTCGCTCCTGCACGATGCCTCAGGAAAAGCGACGGCGCAGCTTCCAAACTTGGAAAACCAACAGCTCAAGTGGCGCAGGAAAACACCAATGGCAATCGTGCCACGACCCGACATAAACACAAGAGGTTTCAAGTTCATGTACATCTCTGCGCCAACGGTGACTTGATTCAGAAGTGTGGTTGCAGCTTGCCGTGTCCTGCATTACTCAATCGTTGGCATGGTTCAGACTTGTGCCTACCAACAGCCGCATATTGGATGTTGGAGGCTCTAAAACCATCTTAATGTAAGCTGGCTCTACCTTGTGATCCACTTGCATGCTCAGAACCCAGCAACGCCCTGTGTGATCACACACTTGCACCCAACATGAGCAGTGCTGCTGACGCCTCGTGTTTTTGATCGCGTCAGGCATGGGCTCGAGCGATCCTGAAGTCCTTTGAAGTTGAATGACACAGCTCTGTGACGACACAGCTCGTCCCTGGGAAAACAATCCAAGTGTGAACTCCAATCAAAGTGAAAGCTGCAGAGACGTGAGCTGCGTCAGAACGATCACACCTCTCCGGGCAGCGAGGTCCCGTGCACCGAAGTCGGCCCGGCCCTTCAGTTGGGAAGGCCAGTCAGGGGGGCCAGTCTCATCCGTGGAAACACGATCGATGAAACACAACAAAGTTAAAAGATCTTAACAGATCAATCACAGACATCTGACTTGCTCCAGCCGCCGTAGCCCTTGATCAACACAGCCTCAACAGCTTCAGAGTCAGTTAGCAGATCGCCGAAAGTTTCCAAAAGGCCACCGCAGGAGCCAACGTTTCAATGGGAATGATCCGGGCCTCAGCAACCTACAATCAAACAAGCAAGCCCCCCTGGATAGCTTGAGCCCAAGGTGCCGTGGTTGATTTGGTGACTTGTTCATCGATGTGAATTGGATCTTGCTGGTTGATACCTTCCACCTGGCTCCAGCGTTCGAAGTGACTTAAAACATCATCGGAGGTGTCTCTTGGATCCGGAGCGAACCCATCTGTGAAGATCACAACGACTGCTGAGCTTCACTCGATGGTCCGGCATGGTCCGAGAGCCTTCTGAGCCTGAGGTTGTGCTCCTTCCTCCATCAGCCATGCGTTCCTGATGAGTCTCCTTAGTGCTCTTTGCTTGAACCTCTGACTGCCAGTGCTGCGGACTCTGAACCCTGAACAGTTTTGACCCTGTTCAGATCAACCACGGCCGGAAACTCTAGATCAAGTGGAGATCGTCAGGACCCAGCCCGCTGGTGTCCAGCTCGCTAAGTTCTCTGGGTGAACAGCCCTCGATACTTCCAGAGCTTGTTGGCGTAGAAATGGCGGCAGATTCCCGACATGGCTGCACACCGGTTCTGACCTGAGAACACACCCCTACCAGGCACGGGCTCGTCCACTGGGCCCGGCTGCACGAAGATCACGGGCGGATGAGCCTCGTGGGCGGATGAGCCTTCTGCATACAGCACCTTTCCCTCCAGATGGTTGAAACCAAGAGGTTTGCTGATAAACAGATTGCGATGTATGCGACACTGGGCCCGGCTGGTCACCTTCTAGCCAAAATTGCATGCGACACGGTGGATCACACGCTTGACATAGAAAGGACATGTCGGCCGAGCAGTTGAACAGAGTAACTCCCTTATTCCATAGCAACACAACCCCAAAGAAGGAACCAGTACTGTGCTCAGAAGAAAGTACATCATCCTGCATGGGAACAGACTGCCGTTCCGAACAAGTGTTTCGCTTCCAACTTCATCGGAAGCTTGCAGTTTGCAACCGCTTCATCGCTTTCCAGTTCTTTGGAATCGGAAAAAATAGGCATAATTATATACATATATAGTTGGAGGTCATATGTCCATGTTTCGGAGATGGTTTTTCAATTTCTGTGGGTTCGACTGTTGCTGGTATTCTACAGCGTTTTGGACCCTTGTGTTGACTTTCGGCTGGCAATCACAGCGTTTTGGACATCATGTGGACTTTTCCACTGCTATCTACAACATATTGGGTGAACGGGGCGGGCTTGCCCGGAAATCACAGCACTTGCATTCATATTAAGCAGTGTCACCCGTTACAGAATTTTGTCATCAGTCTTACGACAGTGTCATTGAATTGAAAAGTTTGGAGCCTCAACTCGCACCCGGTATCTACATTTCGGAAGTGAGCAGCTCCAAGATGAGGATGCAAGGCACCAAAGGTCCTTAAGTACCTGTACATACAGTGTTTTCTTGACGCTACAATTGTGACTCCCTTGCTCAACATGTTGGGCGGTGGGTGTGAAACTTGGTGTGGTACTTACAGCACTTTTGAACCTCATATGGTCAACTTCCATTGCTTTTACAAGACTTGGGGCCAGATGGAAAAGCACACAGACCTTTGGTAGAGTTGGGTGGTTAAGGTAGTTGCATGGTTTCTGAAGGATCCAGAAAGCGGAACAAACAAAAGATCTAGGTGAGACACCTAAAGTATCCTAAGGTGATCAAGTATCCTATGGTTTGCTTTGGCTGGCTCGCTGTTTGTTCCGGGTTTGGTTGATTGTTCAGGTCTTAGCGTGGAACGAGCAAACTGCACTCCTGCCTTCCTTCCTTCCTGCCTTCTTTCCTTCACGAAGCAAGCACGGGAAAGCACAGGCAGGCAGAAAGCAAAAGAAGGAAAAGCAAAAGCAAGAGAAGAAGAGCAAGAAAGCCGGAAACTGACATGTAAAAAGCACCTAAAAGCAACCAAACATGTAAAGAAGGACTCTTGAGCCCTCTGAGAAACCATTTCGGAGCACATGGCAAAACGAGAATTCCTTGGACTTCCAAGGCACTGAATTCCTGCCGCAGGAGGTTCTGGTTTTGCTCTGGGCTGACAGCCCAAGCAAGGATCTTGTACAAAGGCCCCCTCAGCCCCCACGAGCGATGAGTGGAGCGCGCTTTGCGCTACGACCTCTCCCACCCTCTTGGTTTTTCTCTCCACCCCCTTCCGGCGAAAATAGATGAAAATAGTCTAATTCATGGAAAAAGGACTTTCTCAACTAGCAAAGGGAGTAGCTCCGTTCAGTCAGCGCCGATGTCGCGACATCCGCGACAACAACGCCCAGAGCGTTCACGCGAGGTCGAACATGGCCCTTGTCACCAAGGCTCAAGGCGCTTGCAAGCTCTTCAGTGTGACATCCTTGCGACGTTGCGACGCCGCTTCCGCTTCCGTGAAAAGCGGCCGCTTTCGAGCGGAAACCGTTTGGGCCTTCTGCAGGGGACGAGATGGTTTCGTTTTCGGTATCGTCAAGATGGTGGTCGTGCTCGCCTGGTGCAATGGCCTGGATCAAGTTGAGCTCCTCAGGCGAGAAGATTTTTCCATCTTGGAGATCTTGGTAGTAGTCCTCATCAGGTCAAAGCCACTAGTGGAAGGATTCTCTGACGCCCCAAGTGCTTCTCAACACTGGTACAATATCTCTGGATTCTTAGTCCTCTTCGGGCTTCCAAAAGGACTCTTGGCTCAGCACTGTCAGCACACCCATTCCTGGCGAGCAGATGCTGTCGAACAAGAGTCTGCAGTCTGGAAGGAAAAGGACCATTCCAGAAGGTCTAACATGCTCTAGCTACATGAAAATCCGCGTTTTGTTTTACAGCACTGCACGATTCTCCCTCTCCTGTGCGTTTGATCGTGGCAGCAGCTGACACGGCAATTGGATCCCATGGAAGTCCTTTGGACATCAGCACCTGACAACGACGGTCACGCACCAGGTCTTGGCTTTGTCAACGCGACACGCGACGCTTGCGAGCCAAGCGGCCACGGCCACTGCCTTCTGTTTGATGGGAAGCAATTCGGAGAAGTTACCTTGCGCTTTTTGAACGCCGAATTCAAAAACCAAGTGTCCAAGTGTTTCAACCCTGTGGAATGCTTGAAAATAGGCATGAGTTCAACAAAGAGAAAGTGAACTATCTGATATTGAGGTCACTTCCGTTTTGATTGTTACTATTTCATTACCCAAATGTGCTTTTTGGTGCAATTCCCACGACGAAGCAAAAACGCAGACCTTGAAGTTCCTCTGGTCCGTCGTAGATGCGAGATCTGGATCGTTGGTGAAATCCTTTCACGGAAGATCTGGATCGTTTGGCGAAGCTACTAGGGTGGAGGCCATCGCTATTGGGTTGGAGGCCATGACTATACTAGAAGCAAGAAGCTTCCAGTAACAAAGGCCATCGCTACTAGGAACAAGATGGAACCAGTCATCGTTGGCCGTTCATGGCCGTCTTCATCCTTCTTTCTACGCATGGCTACCCCAGTTTTCGTACATCAAAATCTCGGGCAAAGGAAAACCTGTTGGCCATCTCCGCTTCGCCTGGAAGAAGGGGCGTTTCTTCGCGCCTTGTTACGTGCCGTACGTGACGAATCGCGGTGTCCTGATGATCCGCAGAAGAGGATCGAGTTCCATCCCTGCTGTCTGAAGAGGTGCCTCAACACAGCGCACATGTCCTCAGTCCTCCAAACGAGGAATGGTTCTTCGATGTTCTTTCCACAAAAATGCCTACCCCACAAATCCGGAATCTAACACACAATTGCTAGCTGCTCGAAACAAATCATGATAAGAAGCAGGCCTGAAACCTCAGAACAAGACATTCGGTATGACATGGATGCTGAAAGACTGCTTAGACTGCTTGCTTGCTTGCTTAAGGCTCGAGAAAAGCAATCGAAACGAAGAAATACATGGCCCATGGCTTGGATGTTTGGTGTTGGGCCCAGAAAGTCTCAGAGTCCACCAGCAACGCTGTCAACCAGCCTCAATTGGAACGCAACACTGCATTGAAAGTCGTCTCGGGTGTTGAAGACGATGTAAACCACCTGAAGAAGGGAGAAGTCTTGCGCAACACTGGAGGCCCTCATATCCAAAAAGTCCTGAAGAAAAGAACTTCATTCAAGTTCCAAATCAGGTTTCTTTCCAAGCCTTCTCTGAATCAAGCGGCACCACTTTGGGCTTCTTCATGAAGCCCAGCAACTCCTGCGTCCCGGCTCCGAAACGGTGGTCAGTGTCCAGGAACCACGTGTTCGTCTTCGTCTTCCACAAGACCGCTCCTTCCCAGCCGCTTTCATGACCGAGTCCAGCTGCATGGTTTCATCAGGAATGTTCAAGTAGAAGGTGGTCCTGGGAATGTGAAACGATCAAAGAAAGAAAGAAAGGATACACAGAGGATGTTGAGAACCCACTTCATCATGCTTCAACGCTAAAAATGCATGCCTCCTTCCTTCCTTCCGTCCTTCCTTCCTGTCTTGTCTTGTCTTGTCTTGTTTTGTATTGTCTGTTCTTTTCTTTTCTTTTCTCTTTTCTGTTCTTTTCGGTTCTTTTCTTTTTTCTATTGTTTTTTCTTTTATTGTCCTTTCTGTTCTTTTCTTGCCTCCTTCTTTCCGACCTGTCCTTCTGTCCCGTCCTTCCCGTTTCCCTCCTTCTCCGTTTGCTTTCAGTGCTATGTGTCATATGACTCAAGGCTCAAAGGAATATGACGCGCAACACGCCAGGTCGGGTCGCAGGACCTTGACTCTTGGGACCAGCGCCACATTGTGACGCGTGGCGCTACGCAAACAAAGCACCTGTGAAAGTCTCGGTTGACCGCGTTTCCAAGTATTTTTAAGCTCTCCTGCTCATTGTTGCCAAGTACTGATAGGCTTTGTGGAGGTCCTGAAAAAGAAGGCGCTGAGCGACACGATGCGACAGGCTGCGTGGTTTGGAGAAGCAAAAAGAGTCCCTGCGTGGTTTGGTCGTCGGAAAAGGAAAAGCACTCGGACAAACAACGGCACGTGAACACTTTCAGCAGAAGTCTTCCCCCCTTTTGTCAGAACAAAAAGTAGCCCATGCCAATTGTTTTCCGGGTTGGCTCTTCTTCCTTTACTTTCTTCCGTTTCTTTCTGATTTCTTCCCTTGGGTTTGCAACGGTTTGTATCAACAATGTCTGACGGCGGACGCTGCCCGTCCTGAACCGTGATGCCTGCCTTGGCAAAGATTCCTTTGTCGGCGGCGGTGAAGTTCTCCACCACGTCCGTGATAAAGTCATCGGATAAGTCCACGTTGTCCTTTTCGTGTCGGTTGAGGCGTTGCTGTCGGTTGACCACGAGGCGAAATTCTTTTACCTGGAGGCCTATGTCTCCTGTTGCGGATGGCTATGAAGCTGCTTTTCACGTGGATTCCTCTCGACGGAAAAAACTTTAAGTTCGGGGCACAGGTCTGAAAATGTTGGATCAAAATCAAATTGTCTGTCACCCTTCCGTGCACAGTTGGGACCAGTTTCTGAGAAAGAGTTCAAACGAGTGATTGTTCAGTCTGTCACCTTTGATCAATCGATGTTTCGATGCTTCAGCTTTCGTCTGGACAAGCAGCCGCATTGATCTGCACCACGCCCAGTGGAACCTGCAGCGCAAGCCAGTTGCAGCCACGCCCAGTGACCCACAAATTCACCACACTTTGGTACAACTTGTTGTTTGCACTTTGCTAAAGCCGTTTGGTCATCCACACTTTGGTAAAACAGTGAATCGAAATCACATCGACAATGTCTGGTGAAATCGAAACGGCGTCGGCCGTAGGCACCTTATTCAAGTAGGCAGTTCCAATTTCCACCGCACACCATGGACGACGCAGCACATCACCTGACAGCGTTGTTGAGCGAAACGAGATGATGGGCATGTGCCCAACGCGAGGCGGAATGTGGGACTCAGACCATTCTTGGCTGATAAAACCTCAAGACATCGAACTTATTTAGCATTCTAGGAGAGTCTGTTTGAGGTCTTTCAATCGAACAATTCATTCAAGATCAGAGGGAGCGTGGTCGTTTTCGCCATCAAATACCTTGGAATAGCAAGAATAGATGTCGTCTTTCTGCGAGTTTTTCCTCCAAAGCACTGGTCAGCATCACCAGGAGTTTCCGCGTGTGTTTCACGGCGAAGCTCAGGTTGTCCAGGTTGTCGAGTTCCTTTTTGCGAGCGCTGCGGCGCTGTACGGAACCGAGAAGCGCTTTGGTCAAGACCCGTACTGCAAAGGTCCAAAATATGCACGAGGGGAAAAATTGCCAATCTCCAATTACAACCGATATGATATATCGATATATATATATAGAGATATATAGCTTTTGTAGCCAGAGGCGCATCCACATCCAAGAAGACGTTCAAAGTGGTGCCTAAAACACAACTGGTGTGACAATGGGGGCATAGAAGATTCGCTGCCGTCAGAGCAAACATCATGGACTCATTACACATCACACAGAACATGTCTGCAATTTTTCTGCTGGGTGACACATGTTGAAGAGGGTCTTCAAATGCCTGCGCTGCACACTGCACGCGGCATGCGGCAGACGTCGTTTGCCTTTTGCCTTTAAGCTCCTAGAAGCAAAAGCTCCGCAACTTCTCCAAAGAAGACTCAACACTCCGAGTAGGTTGGAGGCCATCTCTACTAGGGTGGAGGCCATCGCTAATGGGTTGGAGGCCATCGCTATTAGGAGGCCATCGCTGTTAGGTTGGAGGCCATCGTTAGTAGGTTGAAGGCCATCGCTTCTAGGTAGGGGGGCAGAGCGGCCTTGAAAGGATTCCGCATCAAATCACGGTGGGAGGCTGAATTCTTCCACGTGCGGTTTCTGCCAGCCTCGCGGAAAGTGCCGCTGCCGCCTTGTGGTGCGTCAAAAAGACATCATAGGCCGAGCGTTTCCTTAAATGGTTCACCTCAGGCACTTCACACGAACCCGGAGTTAAAGCCAATCTAGCGTGAACGGGATATCAAGCTGTTCGGGTCGCGGAAACACCACTTTTGAAAACAAGACTGTGAAGATCAAGAACTCACCCTGGGAAAGCTGCCAACCTGCCAACGTGGTTTCTTGCATGAAACAAATTTCCTGCCTGAAACATATTGAAATGTGTTGAAACCATCAAGAAAGTTGGGGGGGACTCCTTCTCCAAAGCGTCCCGCCTTGTGTGCAAACAAGTCACCACTTTGTAGCCTGCCAAAGCAATGAGGAGCCACAAGGTCGCGGTGAAAATGGCAATGATGCACCTCGTCCAAAGAACACAATAAAAAACCTTCGTCCAAAGACCAAGAATGAAAATCATGCATTCTGAATGCATCTTTCGCATATTCGTTTCACTCGTCAAACGGAGAACGATCGCGTGGGCCGACATGGCGAAGTACCGAGGTCCCTGCCAACCAATCATCGCTCGATCCACCGTGTCGTCTGATGCCAGCAAGCCTTGATTCTTCAAACCGCATAAGACTAGTAACAAAGGCATCGCTACCAGAAACAAGAAGCTACTAGTAACAAGAAAAGGTCCCAAGTTTCCAAAGGAATCGATCAGAGTGAATGGCGTCTTGAGGGACGCAGAAAGTGGTTTCACAAATTCGACGCATTCCGAACGACATGTAAAACCTCCGGACACGTTGCATCCGTTTTTCATATCGCGGTCAAATGCTGTGGAATGTTGGCATCATTGGGGAAGTTTGCTCATCTACACCACATCCCAGAGCAGCAAGACATGGTTTGTACATGTTGCACCATGATCTAAGCAAGACTTTAAACAACCAGTCCAGAAGGCTGATTAAAAAATACGAGGGCTAGGTTCACCAGAATGAGTGGAGTCTTGAGCTGGAGGAACAAAGGCTACCCGAATGGGCTCGAATACCCACACCCTGCATTCTCTCTGTGGCACAAGGAAAAAGGATCGGAACAAGGATCGGCCGCGTTTGGTCCTGAATCTGCCGCCAACAGGCCAAAAAAACAAAGCATCATGATCTGCAGGCCACTCACCTGAAATTCGGGATCATCCAGCACTCTTTGTCTCTCTTTCTCTAGTTGCCTCCCACCTACTAGCGACGGCCTCCAACATACTAGCGACGATCTCCAACCTAATAGCGATGGCCTCCACCCTAGTAGCGATGGCCTCCAACCTAGTAGCGTTGTTTTTCTCTCTTTTTCTAGTTCCCACGATCAGTGGTCTCAATCAAAGCTGAGATTCAAACAAATCAAGGGTGTCGCATGGCGTGTCCCAACAAAAACACATCGATGTGGTGGAATACAAATGACTTGATGACGTAATGGGTCGACTCCACGTGGACTGACTGCATAAGTCGTGGCGTTGCCCGCCATGTCTGTCCATTTTCCAACGGCGCGGCACGACCGTGTCCAGAAGGTTCAGCACATCAAAACGCCAGCACTGGGTCCTGAGTGAAGCACGCTGCAAAGCGAGGTCGAGGATCGAAGTGGGTGCCGCATATATATATATATATACATATGTTTATATATACCTGAGAAGGGGGAGAGACGAAAGCCAGCCCCCGAGCAGAAAAGCCTGCCCCAGCGACGTAAAATGAGTCAGAGTCATTGAGTAGCTCAGTTGTGAAAGGAGGATGTGCATATCCTGGTAGTCAAGGCGGCGCAAAAGCACCCAGAATCAAAAATACCCGGGACTGGACAATGTGATTCCAAAGACAAAGGCAAAATTCCAAAGTAGCGTGCTACCCACCGGGTAAACCTACCCAAAAAGACATTCTTTGTCAACCTCTTCGCCACACACTCTTGATGAAAAACTCTGTTGAGAGACTCTTCGAACAACACTCTTGGCAACACACGACTTGAATCAGCTGAAACCTGACCCCCTGATTCTTTCAATAAAGGGGAGGTCAGGTTTAGTCCTCGGTCACTTTAAGCTAAAAACACTGTCTGCTTCAACATCTTTGAAGATAATTTTTGTATTTTGCTGCACCGTGACTATCAAGAACCTCGCTATTTCCACAGTTTGCGAACATGTGGATGAAACGCACGACTAGACAGTCATTTGAGCATTGACACGCGCAATCGAGAAGCATGCCGACCGCGGACAATAGGCCCAAGACTTGAAAGGAAAGGTCCGTCTTTCAAGATTGATACAAATTGACATGGTTTCGGACCAAACCTTCGCGATGCCGGATATGCCGGCCGGGGGAGACTGCATTATTGACATGGTGTATTCGTCCATGTGTCCAAAAACAAGACAAGTGGACCAACCCTTTTTTCCGTTCCCCGACCCTATTCCGAAACGATACCTATTTCAGACCCCCCCACACCCCCCAGATTAGCTGCAGACCCTCCAGCCTAAGCCTTCGGCTGGCTTTCGTACATATATTCGTGCATATCGACATGTCAAAGAAGACATCTCTCAAGTCAAGGAGCTTAGATTGCCCAATGAGCCACAGCACAAAAACAGCTAAGATCAGCGTCACCTGCCCAGGAGAATTCAAGCCAAGCAACACTGTTAGACTTCTAGTGAGTTGGCTTTCCAGACTTGACTCTCTCTCACTCACTCACTCACTCACTCACTCATTCACTCTCTCTCTCTCTCTCTCCCTGTAGCAAACCGTCTGAATTGGAGTCGAGCCAGGAAGCATCCGAAACCTCCTCATCCTCTTCCCATCCAGCTTCTAACAACTCAGTTTAAGTCTGTTCTTTGATCGTTGACTGTCTCAGCACCCTGCCCTACAGCTGCGCGTCTATGTGGAACTGCTTGCAGTTCCATTGCTGACACCACTGAAACACCGCGAACGACGGAAAATCCAACTTGCTTTTGGACCTGAGCTCCGTAGTTGCTGCTGGCAAGGACTGGGGCCAGGGACACCAAGAAATTTCGCACCTGGGCTGCGCGCTGTTCGATGGTCGGTGACCGATTCGGCTGCCCCGGAGAGATCTAATAGCGATGGCCTCCAACCTACTAGCAATGGAGTGGTGTCCAAGTGCCCTGCATTCCACCAGAAACTGAACATCACGTAGTCCTTGACTCGGCAAACCGAAGAGTCTCAGAGAAGCAAAATTCGATCATCTGTTCATCTATTCAATATCGAAAACCAGAAGCCTCTGTGCTTCTTCCGATTTCAGGCAGCCCGTACAAATCGTCAGCACACCAATCCAGCTGCATGTGCTGCCAGGCTTCTGGCTGCATTCGCCCCGTCAGGAATCGCACGGCATTGGTAAACTTCAGTCCATACCTTTGGGGCAGAACGTTCATCCTCTTTCAGGCCAAAGAAGCGAGGTTTTTGCTATGTCCTTTTTCCAAGGATCTGATGGCGTTCATTCAGTTCGAGCGGGTCTTTCTTAGCTTTTCCCCTTTTCGGGTAGGAGATCTCGGGATCTGCGGATGTGGTCCGAACCCGTTCCCAACGTGTTTCAGGACTTCTCCAAGCAACTTCACAGAGAGAGGACCGAAGCAAAGGGACGCATATCCTCAGCCCAGTTCGGGTCAACGCGTAGGCGTGACCCACGAGTGTAGTCGACACACGAAAGGCAACATGATGCCGTCGTGTTGTTTTGGTCCAAGGTGCCGGTCAAAGTGAGATGCATCACAGGGAAGAGGAGGATGGCAAAAACACTCAGAATCACTAGGGTGTTGTGCTCGCCTCCTTCCCAACATACCATCGCACCTCAGATGCTCAGGAGCTGGGGTTTTTCGGCGACCAACCCGAATCCAACACGCGTCACCGTGGTGACCACAGGCCGAGTCAAAGCAAGACATAGTCGTCTCAGGCGCCGAAGGCTTGCAGAATGGATTTACCATTTGGATTCGATTTGCATCTGAAGCCTTCCAAGCTCATCAGACTCACCTGTCACATGGCTCATCAGCTTCAAAAAGAAACATAAAGCATGTCGCCTCGTGTCGTCTCCACACAAAGCACTGTCGCGCGGAGTCGTCGCGCTCGGGCGCCGCTGCAGTCGTCTTTTCAGCAAGCGGCAGACACAAAGAGCGCAGACATCAAGAAGCCAGCAGAGTTCACAACAGCCGACGCGTTAAAGCTGGCATAGCGCTTCAGCTTCCTTCGCAAAAGGCCGTGAATGCGACAAATGAACCTTTTGGGTGTCCTGCTTATTCTGAAGCGCATTTATTTTCAACAGGTGCATCGTGGTCCATGACTTCAACGGCACTAGCATGCTAGGACAAGATTCGGAACACGTTGAATGACTTGGCCAAACATAAGAATCAACGATTTCAAGCAAAATTGGCTCGCCAACCAAGATAACCAAGTAGGTAGTCCACGGAATTCTTCAGCCAATTCCCTTTTCTCTCTCCGTCGCCAAGTGTCGGAATGAGACTCAAGATGAACGACCCAAAGATCACGGCGCAAACAGTGATGGGAAAGGCAAACAATTTCACCACGTACTCCTCGAGTTTGATAGTTTGAAGCAAGCTCAAGTGCGTTCAGAAAGCATTGTCAGGTGCATGAAATGAATATGAAAAAATGCTGCAAGATATGTGTTTGAAGGTGTTTCTGCAAAAAATGCTTCTAGTAGTGTGGAGGCCATTGCTAGTAGGTCTTCAGAGTCTTCAGAGATGCGAAGGGACATCTCCGGTTGACGCCAAGGGTCTGCAATGAAGGACTTGCGGCCCGTCACACACGAGAAGGAGAGGAAGTCCATGTCCATGCGCAAAAGCCCAAAGGATGGAATGAAAGTGCCTCAAGCACTGGAGGAAACGAATAACAACTGGTGCATCAGGTGCTTCAGCAAAGCCACTCCTCCTTTTTCAGTGGCCAAGCTGCTCATGGGTGGACCCCAAACGGAATCCAATGTGCCATACACACCAAAGGTCAACACCACAGTGGCCGCCATACCACCAAAGTAGACAGCGGTCATGACCTCGCAACTTCCCAAGCGTCAAGGAATTGATGTTCATTGAACCAGTTTTTCCACCCAGAGATTCCAATCCTCCAGTCTGTTTTGACATGACTGTACTACAAAGAAACCTAGAAGCCGGAGGCCAAAAGAAGTGCGAAAGACGATTTGCCAAGAAGCTGTGCGATTGCCCTTCACTAATGGCCAATTTGTAAGCACCTGGGTCTTGGCCAGTGCATCTCTAGTCTTGACTGGTCAATTCCCTGGTTTATCCTCAATAAACTCTGAAAAAACTGAGCTCACCCGCATGCATCACTATTACGCCACACAGACCTGCGGAGCATGGCCAGTGCGACTTAAGCGACTTACTGCTGTACACTAGGGATCCACAACCTGAATGAATTGCCCAAAAAAGTGTTTGATTGTCCAGCCAGTGTCAGTCGCGCCTGCAACGCCTCCCAAAATGACGATGAGAAAACCTGAAGCTTCGCAGTCTTCACAACCTCCATCCTTCAAACCCAGCGAAACTGAAACAGGAGCACAGCCAAATTAGGCCTTCAAAAAGCTTGAAAATGTGTTTGTCATAATGTACGTGTGTTTTGTCTTCTGTGAAAATGTTGGGAATACACTCAGAGTTCATTGGGAAAAAAAACGTCCAGAATTGACAAAAATCACATTCCAAAAGGGAAGAACCCAAAACCAAAAAAAAACACCGCACGGTACACGCAAGTGCTCCTTCCGCTCTTGTCCATCAGGGCAGCGAGAGCACACCAGGTCAACTAGTCCTTCGCACACCAGGGCCAAACTTCAGATCTTCAGGTTCCCTCCGAAGAGTTCCTACACTTCGAAGAAGTAATTAACATCTCCAACTCCGCCATCATGATCTTTCCACGACCCGGTGCCCCCGCCCTTCAACGGCCGCACAACCTGCGCAGGCTCACTCCTCCTTCGCACGACTCCGGATCACCACCGAGGCAAACATCCTCTTCCTTGCACTTGTAGACCTCGGGAGCACGTGTCTTTTTTTCTCCATCCATGATGGGCACCCATGAGCTATTAGGTTGGAGGCCATCGCTATTGGGTTGAAGGCCATTCCTATTGGTGTTTACCATTCGTCGATCCTTGGTCGACTCGACTCGACCCCTTTCGAAGCAACTGTTTGGACAGCACTTTCTTCCCTCGACGAATGTCGAAAATGCTGTCCCTAGAAGTTCAGTTCGATCTGTTGCACCACTGAAGTGAAGATTCATTTCTGTTCTGGTCATCCCTAAAGAGGATTCGATTGAACTTGTTCCACCCCGAAGCTCACCCTTCAGTCAAAGAAACGCTCAGAGGCTCTTCACGCGTGGAATAAAAGCCAGGCAGCAGCTGAGGATATGGCCTGTTCACCTCACTGCCATGTGATTGCACTTTTGAAAACTCAGAAACTCACATTGGATGCACAACTTCCGAATGCTGATCGCTTGGGGAAAACACCATATCAATCGATCGATTGGGCATATGTCGGCGGAATCTTTGCGCAGGTCTCGTGGCTCTACGGAAGCTATTTGAACTCCAGCCACAGAGTAGGAGGAGTTGGTGCGGTTGTAGAAAGCAATGTCCTTAGGCCGAGGTTTCAAAGCTGAAAGAAATCTAAACTGCAACCTGCCGGAGCTTTGAGGATCACGCCTTCTTTTGAGAGTTACACTCGCTAGGTCCTAGACCATGACAAGAAGAGGGCGGATGCACGAGAAGCTTACGACGTGAATTCAAACAAAACTCTGCTTCACAGATTCCACGGATCAAAACCGAAGACAGGTAGTCTCCTCCTTCTTGGACCTTGTTGCCGGTCTACACACGCCAATCATCCCTCCAGGCAATTCAGCTCAGTTTCACTTCCCACGGCGCACGACATGCCCCTTGGGCAAGCAGCGCATTGTCCTGCCTGCGTCTTGTAGGATTTGGCCTCGCAAACGCCTCGGTCCCCCCTTTGACACGTGAACGTAGCGTCGTTCGGCACAGAACGATGCAAGGTGAAACAGCCCATGGAGCATGGTTGGCACCCTCGAATGTCCTAGGAACACTCGTTTGTCGTCACCAATGGCATGTCTCTTTAGTCCTCCACTTTGGGCAACCAGTGAGCACAACTGACGAGGCGCAGTCCGTCAAATTCTCAGCAGCCATGAAGGCGGTAGTAAGCCCAGCCGGGCATTGCAAACAGGAGTCATCTGCCATGGTCCTTCAGGCTTCACACGATGAGTAGTGCCATGGTGGGAGATACCTGGATATCCCCTGAGTGGGTTGCCCTCCATGCAAAAAGCCCACAGCAGGGTAAACAGAGCAGGGACACTGAAAACTCTTCAGTGGATTGCTGTAAGCGCAAGAAGAAAGCAAGAAGAATTATATGGTGATCAGCTGGCCAGCGGTGCATCCAGTTTCTGGCTAGTTGGCCCCAAATAAATAGATAAGTAGATCCTTAGTAAACATGTATTGGAAACGGTTTCGATCTATTTGGGGATCACTATAGGCCAAAGGTGAGGCCCGTGGTCTCCTGTAGGTGCCCAAGCCGCAGCGCAAGCATGCGGATGAGCCGGTGGTCTGCATCCGAGCCGATGGTTGGACAGCGAGAACGTGAATGTCTTAGACGATCGTATTGACGGAAAGGACAAGTTTAAGCAAGAACAGGTGCCAATGCCAACTATGAATTTGTTCTGCATTCATATCATGCAACAAGCTTTTTTGAACAACTCTTGGAGCTTGTGTCCAAGCTCCCTGCATTCACTTCGACATGCGTGGATGAGCGTTGAGCGTTGTAATTCATTCGGACGACCTCACCGACCGCCGCGCCGCTGCGCAGATGCCTCCGTCTGATACCCCGCGGCGCAGGCGTCGCAGCGCCCGGCGCCGGGCGCGGCGGCGATGCTGTTCTTGGCGCAGCTGCTGCAGTTCGTGGAGCCTGGCGCGACGGGAGGTGGAAAAGACCGAAAGTGGAGTCGGTCTTCAAAGGACCATCACGTTGACCCAAATGCTTTGGTGTCGCCCCGCGGCATCGTGCATTATCGTGCATTCTCAATTGATCACTCATTCCAACGACGTTTATCCCATGCGGCCGCACCTTGCAAGGCATAGGTGCCTGGAAGGCAGAATTCACAGGCAGGTTGACCAGCTTCAGATGTCACCTGAGCAACCCAACCCAAAGCACTTAGGATGCATGGCCATCCCCCGGTTCATGTGCTGTTTCTTGAAGTATTTGTGGAGTGCCATCAATACCAGGAAAGCAAATCCCTCTGAACATTCTGAAAATCTCTCCAGACTTCTACAAGTCAAAGTCAAATCAATTCTTCTTCAAGCAGGTTGGAGACCGCTCTTAGGTTGGAGGCCATTGCTAGTAGGTTGGAGGCCATTCCTTTTAGGTTGGAGGCCACGTTGTGTTCGCATAGGTGACCTGCACACAAAGCCTTGAAGAAAACTTGGCCAAGGGACGGATCCAGCCTGGCAAGGATCGCATTTCCTGGGTTCCGGGCCGCAAAAAGGGGTCTTTTGAAGAAAGACACTCAACGGTTGGAAGACGCCTTCCATTGATGTGTGAGGGAGGACACTCCACCGCTGCCATCTGCCAAGGGTCGTGGGGGTGTTCAACTGCTTGTAGAATCCAGCCTGACAAGGCTGACAACCTTAGACAAGCGAATGGCTGCCCTCCCAATATCTCCCAAGACACTCAAAACTGCATGGAAATGTGTTTTCCACCCTAAATCTGCTCGATCCCCTGCGCTGAAAGTCTGTGTCGGATCCCTTTCTTCGATCCCAGCAGCTGTAGCGAACCTTGGGGTTGCCAAACTCATTGGTGTAGGCTTCCTCAAAGGAAAACTCAACCGGTTCGTTTTGAACACAAACGTCAAAACAGACATCTCTACCACGTCTCCTTAGGGCGTGAAGCTTCAGGACCGAAAACAACTTCGAAGCCAACGGAACGTCCAATGGAAAACGGCGGCCATGTTTTTTTTGCGAAAACGGAACGTCACCGTCCTCGAAGAGTTCGGTTCCATTCCAACACATGGACGGCGGCACCGGGACGTAATCTGCTTGGGCATTGCCTTTCTCTGCAATGCGTTGCTCCATCTTGTTGCGAAGGTTCGCATTTACGGCCTCAACACGACACCCTCAACGGTGGTTTTTGGATTTTGGATTCTTTTCCAAGCAAGAAAGAAATCAAAAGAAATGATGAAATGAGTGCACGTGCATGACCAGGCGCTACATAGCCCACATTGGCCACAGCTTGTTGCCCAGCATCAGTAAAGCCATAAGCCAAGTAAGCATGAGCCCTTTCCCATGCTGAATTGTCCTCAGGCGGACCGTGCCAGGCGCCGCACCGTTGACGGTTAACGCTCAATCAGGGACTTATTGTGACATCGGCCTAAGTCGTCAAGAGAAATCTCGGAACGATCCACCAACATCACTGCCTAAGCTTATACCAAAGGCGTCCTTGCTCCTAGTAGCGATGCCAGGAGTCCCTAGTAGCGTCCTTGCTCCTAGTAGTAAGGCCAGGAGCCCCTAGTAGCTTCTCGTTCCTAGTTCCTACAGAGCAACGTGGATTGCTGCCGTATTCTGCCTTTTTCCATGCCATTGACATCCTCGCATGCCATTGCCTCGTATGTCTTTCTGCGGCCGGGCGACCACATTCATAAAGAGCGATCGGCGAAACACCGCCTGAGGAAACATTGAGGCACAAAGAAGGGGACGGTGCTCCATGCCGAAATGCAAGCTGTTTAGAGCTCCACATGCTTTTTGGTACTATCAGAGATGGCTCTTACATGCTCTTACTATTTTCAGAACACCAGAAGCTGCAAAAGAATTGAGAATAAAACAACAGCATAATTCGAATGTGAAATTCACAAGCCCCATTGGAGGCATAACCTCTTCCTCTTGCTGTGAACGTAAGATGCATGGAGGATGAGCCCAGCACAGAGTCATGTCGCTTCCTTGCTGCCAGGCTCGTCCCACGGTTCGTCCCGCGACTTGGACGAGTTGCATAGGACCCGTCGGTAATCGAGTACGCATTGGGCTCCACTTTGGCATCCAAAGTATCTGCCACTCCTGGCCCCAGCCAAAGCTCGAACACAAACAAAAACGAAGACGCTTCAGTGTCAAACCTCATGAGTTTTCACGCGGCAAAAGTCCCACTGAAAGATGTGACGCCCGTTCAGACTGACCACACAGCCGGAGCTGGAACCTTTCCGCGTTACACCTCGGCTGGTTACTGGAGGCGTTTTCACCTCACATCTCGACCGTCGAAGATCAGTAGCTTTTGCCGAATCGGTGACTCCTTTCACTTGATCTTCGGCGATTCTGGCCACTGTGAGTGTGGCTGAATTCGTGGAGTAGTAGGCGAAGCCGAAGTAAGCAATGCCACCATGGTCCTTCAGAACCCAGTGCAAGATCTTCCTGATCAAGCCGAAACTTGGCCACTTCAAAGCCATGAAATGCCTGGAATCTTGAGGAGTTAGGCAACAAGAGTGAAGGTTCTGCTGTAAAAAAGGAATTGGTGCTTCATAAAGCAACTTCTCCACAGAACACATGATCACCGATCACTTTCAGAACTTTCCCTGAACTGCACCAAAGGAACTCATCATCTTCAGACTCCATGTAGCAATTGACAGGACGCCTCGGCGCCAATGTCACAGATCATCACAGATCTACTACTTTCCGATCAAGCATTTCCTAACATGCCTGGCATAAAATACTCCTGTGCTACTTGAGTCTATTCAAAGCCACACGCCTCAATTTATAGGCCTGTTGCTGGCTGCATCTAAGTCCCATGGCGATGTTGGGACATCTGACTATGTTCACCATGACTGTCTCATTCCATGACCTGTCTGTGGTCATGGATCCAATTGTGTCCAACTCTCCCGTCTGGCTTCCAAGCTACAAAGTCTGAATAAAGGTCGTGATCTCAGCATCCGTCGTCTTGGATTCCAAATCCACGTTCAAATTGTGGGCGCACACCGCAAAGTTCTCCGGCTCTTCGTAGTCTCGGATCCAAAGGCCAGATGATTTGTTTTTGAAAAACATATATAAACGACACCAGCGGGTTCTGTCCGGATGCTTATCACTGGATATTCATCACCCCATGTCCATCAGTCTCTCACAGTCTTACTCAAATGCTTCCACTTCAGCCATGGTGCCTGATAGCACGACCTGCGCAAAAATTGCGTTCACATTGGTATTTGGTAGGTGCTCAAAAGGAGCCGAATACTACATGAAGTGATAAGACACAGCGCTTTCTCCAAGAGCTGCCATTGCCACTCCGAATCTCCACACCACCACGCCATGAGGACGATAACGGCAGCGCCGGGCACGGTAAAAGATATAATTAGGAGTACTCAGTACTCTTCCTAACAGCAATGGCCTCCAACCTACCAGCGATGGCCTCCAACCTAAGAGCGATGGCCTCCAACCTACCAGCGATGGCCTCCAACCTAAGAGCGATGGCCTCCAACCTACCAGCGATGGCCTCCAACCTACGAGCGATGGCCTCCAACCTAAGAGCGATGGCCTCCAACCTACCAGCGATGGCCTCCAACCTACTAGCGATAAGGTCGACGCTCCGTGCCTCTGCAAAGAAGTCGTGAGTGCCGGACTGCGTGCCTGGGCCATAAGCGTTGATGGGTACCTGGCAAGTTCACAAAGAGGTCGGGACTCGGGTTCTCTCTTGAGGTATGTATATATATATATATATAAATTGATTGTATTACGTATATAGATAAAAATGCTACATGTATGTCTTTCCTTCTCACAACATTCTCTTTGGAGATGCGGGTACCAATTGTTGAGTTGGCAAAGAAGTTTAGGTCCAAACGAACCATCGAGTGAACTTGAAGTGATGAATCCGTTTTTTGCTTTTCAATCCACTCCCGTCCAGGCATGAAGCTGAGGTGAACAAGCCAGATGCTCCTCTTCGCAGTCTGCGTGAAGATCACCTCAAGTCTCCCACAGGTGGCAAAAATGGGTGTGGTGAGTGGTGTCTGAGGTTAGGAATTTCAGCAATGACATTGCTTCCAGTAACAAGTGCCACGCTAGTAGTAACAGGTTCCTTACTAGTAGTAACAAGAAGCTATGAGGTTTAAAAAGCAAAAAACGTCGTCCGCTCACTTCGTCTGAGGATTCGGAAAACTATCGTCCCGTGACCCATGCCATCTCCCACGCGCGGACGCGACTCCAGCGCTATGACGCGACTCCCCGATTCCCTCAAAAGCACTCAGAGCGATGGCCTCCAACCTCTCGGTTCACAGCAAAGCCACTCCACTCCTTGATGTTGTCACCGTCGTCGTTCGGGACCACCTTGCACACAAACGCTCCCTCTTTGGAAATACACAACAAACATCAACAAACTACAATACAAACTGACAAGAACCTTTAGTGAATTTGGTGTCGTCTAGCTCATCCAAAGAGAGAGCCTATTCAACATTAACTCACCTTCTTTCCAGGTCCGTACCCCTGAACCAATTAAGTCAAAAACATCGCTATTCAGCTCCAAAAGAAAGCCAAGCAACGGAGGAAAGGTCAACACCTCCACTCGCAAGTTGAGAATTGCTGTAGTCACTGAACATCCAACCTGTAGTCACTCAACACACCACTCTTCGGTGCTACGGAGCAATGAATCGGATGAATGACCCAATTCTGATTGAAAGATATGTGCATATATATATATATGTAATTTTATTTATATATTTAGATATAGATATTTATATGATACATATTACATATCAATCAAAGAAACATGTCTAAAGCAGTATGACTACATATTCTAGAAAGTCCGATGTCCAGGTGCATTGTTTATCCATTGGACTTTCTAGAATGTCTATGCCTCCGAACTCTGAATCCACCAAGCGTCGGAGCTGTGCACGTGTCAGACCACCCAAAGTGGCAGTAAGACAATTGTGGCCGGCACTGTTCCTGAGACGCAAGGAACCTCTTCAATCCAAAGGCTAAAGCATCCATTCCATGATTTGCGCTTAGATACAAGCACTGGGAACCTTCGAAAAATCGCGCCAACCACACCCGGAGCCCGGTCTGTGCCAACTTCTCTGTTCGCCCAACCGCCACCACGGCACTTCGCCGCCACCACGGCGAGACCATCCACGCCCACCTGGATTTGCGTCACTCGCTGCTTCGTGGCCTTGCACTCCAGGGTGTATCCATCGTCCAAGCGTACGGCCTCTCCGCGTTGGATGGTCTAGCCGTGCGGTTGATCGGCACGTTGGATGGTCCCGCGTTTGCTCGGTTGCTTCTCGGCTTGATTTCTCGGTTGGGTTCGAGTTTGCTGTCTTATGTTAGAAGTGTGGAGTCAGGATTCTAAGTCGTACAGTAAGTCTCTCTTCCAATAGGCTTTGGAGATATTGTTATGAACTCTGAAGCATGACTTGCAGACCGGATCCTCTAAAAAGAAAATCAAGAGCTTGCTTACTGCATGAGTGGTTTCCTTCATGACAACCACGGATCTGGAGCATCTGACACCGTTTCTGCGTGCCTCCTTGTCTCTCCAGTTCCTGGGACAGATCGATTTGGTCAAAACAAATGAAAGGTCAGTGCGAAGTTCACAAAATGTCAACTGAGTTCGTGCTCTGCATCTACCTATCTTTGCGTGTGCAAGTTGAGGGCGGGATGGCACTCACTCGGCACTCTCAACACAAGTAGACCAGAAACACCGAGCTTTCTGCTAGACCCGCAAGGTATTGGAAGAGGGAAACAAAGGCTGATCAACCCTGGCCATTCTTGAGCTTCTGATGCATACATCCTGTTTGTCCTACTCCAGGGAGATCAACCACATGAAAGTTCAAGTGAAAAAAACTGAAGAAAGTGTGTATTGATTGTATTGGACTTAGGAATTAACCCGAAACAAACATGAAAACGAATACTCGATACTCTGGAGAACATGAGGATAACAGGATAACCAATTGACTGTCTACATCTTCAGCACCACGAAAAGACCCACAAAATCGGCTCCTGCCTGGACATGGTCCCAATGTCCACATGGGTTGAGTCGTTGTAGGGTGCGCACACACGGCGGGCGCCCGTGCTGGAACCACCTGAAGGGTTTGAAAAGCGACGGTTTCCGGGCGATTCCGTGCATCGTCAAAGCAAGTGAGCAAGTTTGTCAAAACAAGTCAAGTTTGGATGATTTTGTTTGAAATTAAGAATATTTCCTAACAAAGCACCTCCTTCCACAGTCAGGGAGTATGCGCTCTGAATCGACGGTACACTCGCCCAGCCGCTGACGACCTGAGCAGTCTCCAATGAGTCCAAACCAAAGAGAACGGGAGCAAAGCGGTCTTTGTCAGCTCAAAAAGGGATAGCAACGAAGTGGAAAAAACACCAAAGAAACACATCGTTTCTCGCGTGTTGAGCAGTCCGTGATCATTCATACGACTACGACAATCCTGCACAATCCTGCACATCGTTATACTCGTAGGAAGGGTCCATGAGCGCCGAGACAGAGCGTTCGCAAGTTCGAGACCAAAGAAACACTTTGTTGTGGCCGGGGTCATTTCAATCAACAGACCCATACCTCGACCTCAACTCTTCTTCTGAGTAAGTTCGATCATCTCATTTCTTCCCATCTCATCTCCCTTCGTCCACTCCCACTTATCTCAGAACATGTTCTGGGATGGTCAGCCTCGCTGTTCATCTAAACTTGCCCCTTCTTCTGGAACTGAAGTGTCAACAAGCAACGAAAGAACACCCAAAGCCCAAAGGGGTCAAACGTGTTCGGGACCACTATAATTCTGTATGACTGGTTTGGTGAAGGTGGCAAATGCATACGACATGGCCCAACCATCTTGCAACAGGTGGGAAGGCAATACTCCGAGCCAATTGTCAGCCCCGGCACCGGATAGACAGTGGACGAGCCAGCAACTGTCAAGGTCGTTTGTGCCACACTCTGAGAGCTCCAAGTAGCCTTGACACACATTGAAGGCAGGATGTGAACATCTGCACTAATAGCGATGGCGATAACCTCCACCCTACTAGCGATGACGTAAAGATTCGGAGTCTAAAAATAGAGTTCTTCTATGTTGCTTACTGGATGTTCCTAGTAGAGAAACTGCTAGTAGTAAGGCCAGGAGCCCCGTTCGTAGCGTCCTTGCTCCTTTAAAGAAGCCTTCTCAGTCTTGCTCTTCTCTGCTTCTGTCCAAGCCGAGACATGGAGAAAAAGGAGTCGAGAAGAAGAGAAAGCAACGTAAGAAAAGCATCATCCCTTCGGCCCAAATCTGTTCGGCCTTGGAAAAGCCCAGTCTGGTCCCAAAGCATCTAGCCCTAGCTGCCCAAACCGAGGACTCCGAAAGGCCCCAGCTGGCAGTCTTTCCCTTCGGCTAGCAGACCAGGGGCACAGCTGCCCCTGGTAGCACAAATCGATCTCGTCTATGGTCAAATGAAAAGGAACCATCCTTTGCCAATCGTCCTTCGACTGTCATTCTCAAAAAGCATGGAGGACGTCGGTGCACCAGGAATCCGTCGCATAACATGGTTCAGTTTATGAATAAACTTCTTCGTACCAGCCGCAGAATCCAAATCCGCCCTCGTTCGGTTTGTCTGAACTTCACTCGCCGTGTAGCCCAAAGGATAAGGCCAAAACCTCGGTCTATGATCAGTCGAGTGTGTCCACAGGAAGAATTGAAGTTAAATGGTTTGGTTGAGCCACACATTCAAATGCTGACCGATGCCTGAATGATAAAGGCGTTGAGCCTCCGACCTACTTGTGTGTTTTCCTGCCAAAAAAGAGTGTCTTCAAGCAATGCAACCATTGTTGGTTCGTGCACCGATAAGGAATTACAGTAATCCGGGTGCTTGGAAATCACGTGGAACTATCCCTTGATACTCACACTTTCAGTGCACACAGGGAACAGCGCAGCATATCTCTGTAGCGGTCTGCTGTTAGCCAAAGGACGACCTGGAAACGAGGCGAGACGTTGCATGAGATTGATCAACAGTGTGTGCATGAAAACGAGTTTGAAGTGCTATCTTTGTGCTTGAAACAACACCGCGGAAATCTACAAGACCAGTCAAGTGAAAAAAACCTTGTCAGTTTGCGGTGAAGAAAGTATCAAGACTGGCTG